AAGTTGTTATCATAGACTGCTCTATGTGAGAACAGAATAACAAGAGTTACATTGTATTTTGTGCTCTTAACTATTATATTTGCTCCAAGAGTCAGTATGGGGTAGAGGGTGCAGGAAAAATAGAGCAAAGCTGGAACAACCTGAACCTTAAAAAAGACAAATAATTTAAAACTAGTATTCACACGACCAGGATTTTCCATCTGTATGATACTCTCATTGTGTGCTAAATTCCCTACTATACTGCCTACCATTGCTTTTGCCAAAAGAAAAGGACGAAGGCAATGTACTGAGCACAGTATCCTTGGTTAAGTGAAACCCGAAACAAAGAGGACAGGTAAGGGATACAATGAGTTTATTACTTCAGGGACCAGACTTGACTTTAAACTGTAAAATGAACCGAGTCAATCATCCTTTTCTGCATTGGCATTTAAATTGGAGGTATTTATCATGAAAGTAAATTACTGTCATCTTGTATATACAACTCTAAAGCAGTCTTGGCTGGATTACTTTGAAAAGGTGAATGGATTGACATAAATTTAAATCCATAACCCTCTCCATCTCTATGAGTCATCAGTGGCAGGAATATGGTCAATCTCTAAGAGCGTTCTTACCTGTGTTATTGTTACCTTTTTTTCTGCTGTACTCAGCTTGCTTAGTGGGGTAACTGCCACATCTTTGCTTTTGGAGAGCCACAGCCTCTTGTTTTGTGCTGGTGATACTAATCATGGTTGTTCAATCTTTACTTAACCAGTGTTGAAAACCTCTTGCCTTTGAGTGGGATTTCCCCTTCACAGTAGCCATGCTGTGAGGTGGCAGGGGAGCCTCCTAGATTATTTTATTACATATTTTTTTAAGTAAAAGTGTAAATAAAAATTAGTGCAATTAGTTTAATGATTTGACTGCCTCACAAGTGTTATAATATCAAAATACAGGTTATTTATTTAGAGTTCAAGCTCTTGAAAGGGAATGAATCTGACAATATAGAGAAAAGGCTGTGAATTTTTTGAAAGCTCCTGTACTTTTCCTGCCTATTAATTTTTGTTCCTTCTGGATGCTGTTTTCTAGCAAATTGCTTTCTGTATCTCTGCCAAACTGAAAACACCAGGGGAAAAGCTGAATAGGCTAAATTCTGATGTAATTTATACTACCCTGCTTATCTTCAAAGGGTCTGCTTATATCAGTAATGCCAGCAATGATTTGGTCCCGTAAAGACATCACATGATTATTCTACAAAATAAAATACTATCTTATAATTTTAATGTCAGTTATATAAGTTGCACTTGATACATGGTAGCAGGTACATTACTATAACTTTAAACTGAAATAATTCCGAAATCAAATATGGTGATATAAATTATAAATTGCCTATTCAGCACATATCTCATTCATACTTACGGCAGGAATTTGTTATTCAGTGGGCACATCTACACGAGACGCTAGCTATGCAGTAGCCAAATAATATTGCTCAGTAGCACATCACAGCACCAGCCATGCTAATACACTGCACAGTCTTATTAGGCTACTGTGCAGTAGCATCACTTAAAAGGCATTCACTGGTGCTACTGCACAGTAACTCTGGTCACTGCACATTTATTTAGTATTTGATTATACAAGTACTAAATAAATGCACAGTAATCACTGTGCAGTAGTCTGTCATGTAGACGCGCCCAGTCTGCCTTGGTTGGAAGATGAAATGGTCTTAAGCTACAAACACTAAGTGTAAACCCAAATTTAGATCCTGAATTTTCAGAAGCTACAGACAGCAGGTAGAATCTAGGACCTTTGGAGTTCAGGTTCCACCACAGCTCTAGACAATTTGTGAAGAACATTAGTTTATTGAACATTCGATTCATAACATGAAGTTTATTGAAATATTTGCCACTGAGACATTATTATGGTCAGACTAGTTTTACTATTCTTCAAAACACTTATAACTGACTCCATTCTGTGCAATCAGTACCAAACTAACAAAAAATGTTTTACTCTGTTTCTATCAATAACTAATGAAATACAAGGCTATTTCTTGTAAATAATAAAAAATAAACCATTGTAAAGGGCTGCTTCACCTGGAATTAGTCATTTTTTCAGTCTTTTCTGTAGTATCTAAGAGGTATCAACTGTTTTAGTTGGTCCTCAAAAAGTGCACTCTTTAAATTACAACTGCCCAGGTACTGAGAGATTGGCACGGGATTATTTTTTTTTTTAAATGCATGTTTTCAATTACAGTGTTTTCAATGACAGTTACATTCATTACAATGCTTTGATAAGATTCTATAGGGAAATCTCAAAACAAACTTTAAATGCCAGACATGTCATACATTACATTCTCATTTTTGGTCACTCAGATCTAATCAGTTCTACAAATAACAAAGAGAAAAGGAATAATTGTATTTAAAGTACTTTATGTTTTTATTATTTAAAACATCTATGGCAAACTTTCATCACATTTCAAGCAGAACAAAATATTATTCAACATGTACTGGGATGTCAGAATGTGTTAGGGTTTGACTAGTGTTGTAACTGTGATTGTCCAGGTAATACATTAGGGGAAAAAAGGAGTTTTTTGATAAGATATTTTATTGGACCATCTGAGTAGTAGTTTCTTTATGACAAGGCTCTGCCACCCTTGCTGAAGTTAATCAGTAGCTTTCTCCATTAGTAAAGCTGTTAATTTTAAAAGGGGCTACTTCTGAACTAAGATGCTACTTACTGGGGACATCTATATGTGCATATTAATAAAATACAATAAACTCCGGTATTTATTGTGCCAAAGTTTATTGCTCCCAGATGCTGCATTTGAACGTGCACCCGGGAGCAACCCTGGCTGGAAGGAGGCCCAGGGGGGTCAGCCTGCCAGCCCAGGGATGCTCCAATCCAGCTCCGTGTATTGCAAAGAGGCTGGCTGGGGCACAAGGGTGCTCCAGAGCAGGGCCAGGCAGAAGTTGGCCCCTGCCCTGAAGTGTCATATTGAATGAAATAGTTTGAATGTTTGTAAAGGTTGCCCATTAGCCAGTTTCAGGAAGAAGATAGGATTTATCTCCTTATCTAGCTCATTGTTTTGGGGCTACGTGAAAAATGTCCTGACTTCACTTAAAGCCTTAGTTTAAATTGTATCTTTAGAAGTCTTTTACAAAGAAAGCAAATATCCTGAGTTCCGAGACATCAAAGCCTAGGGCCTTTTAACCAGACTGGTTAAAAAAAAAAAGGTATTTACAGTGATATGGAAGAAGTCTCCCCAAGAGTAATTTAAAATGCTCAACAAAGGTAATTTCTGTTGAGTAAGATCCGAGCCCAAATTTGGGAGTTGTGACAAATTGAGTAGGAGGAGCCCAATGACGGCAGCTCACTCAATAAAAAACTGTAACTTACTGTCCCAATTTGGAGGTGACTTCACTTGCAGAACAACGAAGGAAGAATCGCAAGTGTAGCCCAGACCAGATTGATCACCTGACCCAACCTCTCCGTGAACACGAATCTCTTAGTTCACGCTGAAGCCGCGGAGCACCTGAAAGGGACTGAAGGAAGGGGACTTAGTCCTATCACTGCTGAGCCCAGCTTATTGAATTGTATTGCTGAGGCGAGCCCATTGAACCGTACTACTGAGGCCAACCCATTAAATCGTACTACTGAGGAATGAAACCATATTTTGGTATTTGGCTTCTCGGAATTCTAGGATTGTAAGTATATTATGAAAAATAATAGTATTGATTCAAATTTAACTTTTAGTTGTAATTGTAGTTGTTTTTGTAACACTAATTCTTATAGCATTGTTTGGGAAGGAAGTGCATTCGGAGCATTGTTTCTGATATATGTAATTATTGTGTTTTTAATGTTTGTGGTGTTTCTTAAAGCTAAGCAGTGTTATATATGTAGCAAAGAGTTTTAAAATAAAATTGTGTTGTATGAATTAAGTGTGTAATCATTGTGAAATCGTGCAGTCAGCTAACTACTCCCCCAGCCAGTGCATCAAAACGAATCAGTAAATTGTGTGGGATTTTCTCTATTCCATAACCCACTAGAGACATGAAGCACCATCATGCCCCAGCCAGCTGCATCAGTGTCTACATGTGTAGTGCTGCAGAGTAAAACTGTCCAGCAGGGTTAATTAACTTCCTGAGGCCTAATAGGGCCACATGTATAAATACCATGACATTACACCAAGACATTTACTGTGGAGCTAATTAGGCAACTGCACAGTAAACATCTTGTATAGACATGTCCAATGGGTGCATTTATACATGCGCTTTACTGTGAAGTAGACTAATTAGCTCTGCAATGAAGTGTCACTGTCTACCCATGCGCCGTATTGTCAGGAACAGTACAATCTTATGATTGTGAAAATGAAGTGAAAATGGTGACGTTGGGCATAAATTGCACTTGATCAGCCCAGGAAGCAGGGGGCCAAACCCCTGCATACCACCTAGCTACATAGCTCCACACGTTTGGCACTCTTGTGCCCCAGCCAACCCACTGTCCTCTGCCACCATCCATAGCCTGGGGCTGACCCTCTGAGCCTATTGCCAGCCTGGGCCTGCTGTACCCTGGCTCAAAGTGCTGCTTTTCCCTGGGAGCAGTGTACTCAATCTCAAGGTGCTTCAGAGTTTATTGCTTTGCCTTAATTGCACATGTAGATGCACCCAGTTTAAGGAAGTTTGAGAGGAGAGTCTCTTGACTTTTTGTTGTTAATACTGGTCTGTTGTTAACAGAACTCATTGACCTTATTTATCTCCTCTAGAAAGAGATATTTGTAAATACAGGTAGTAATATCATTTGCATAATGTACGTCTTCCTGTTTTCTAGTATACCTATAGGTCATCTCTCTGTGTTAGATGCTCTGTAAATGTAAGACTTTTGAGACTTCTGTAGGGTTCTATTTTTACATGGCAGTAAGATCTTGGCTATACTCCCATATATGCGTGGGTGCCGCAGGAGTCATATGACCCTTGCCACATTTCTATTAGAAGGGAGCTCCAATGACAGAGCACTGCTGCAGTTTCACTTCTCTGCTGCAGTAGCTTCAAATTCACTTGTTCAACAGCCTCTTTGGCTATACTTCTTGCAGATTATAGGTAATTGGAGTGATGATGTCTGGCAGTATTTCTTGTGTCACTGATGCATAGGACTGAATTAGTGCTGGAATGCCAGAAGATACAGGTACAGTGTGATGACTCCACATTCTGGGGCATTTTGACCAAACCTTAATTGTTTTTCATCTGAAATTTTCTGTAACAGAATTGCTGATAAATTTGTCAGAATGTAGCATTTAAATCTAACTGCTGCAGAATGCAGACAGATAGTTAAATATGTGCACTGTTTTATTTAAATTATGCTAAATATTCTTGTTCATTGGCAAGGCAGAGTTGCAAATTATGAGGACAGTGCCACTTGATTAACTGTACGTTTCAGATTGATAGTGGAATCAGTGATAACACTGACAGCTTCCCAACTTTTTAAATGTAACTTGTGTTTTTAAATTTAATACTAAATCCTAGTTTAAAAAAAAATTAGCTTCATGCAACTATATTGGGAGTGGTGTTCCTAGATCCCTACTCTGTGTAAATGTACAGCAAGCATATACACATCCAGTATTTATGTTACTCCAGTCATATTACTTTGAAAACTAGCAGAGATTTACATTAGCTGAAATGCATTTGTAATTCATTTTATTTAGTAACACATATAACAGGCTTGCTTTTATTAGCATCCTTGTTATGTTTTGTATCTTAAACATGAACATATGGCTAGTTTTGAAGCTGTTGGGTACTCAGCATTTTGTATTATGTTGTGTATGTTGTGCGGATAGTAGCTTACTTTGCATTGTGTTAGGTAAAATCTCCCTCCCTGGTCCCCTCTCCTCTGCCTGGTACTTAGGAATCAATTGTAATGTCACACACTGCTTCAGTCAGTTTTTTTTTTGAAGTATCTGCTGTTTTATGCCAGCCTGTACTGTAGTTCTTGTGACTTGATTATGTTCTGTAGGCAGTATTAAAGAGACTTAAAAGCCTTCTGTTCAAGAGAAAAAAGTACTATAGCATTTATTAGAAACAAATATTTAAAATATGCATCTAGTAAAAGATAAACATGATTATTATCATCAATATATTACTTAATTTTAATTATTATCATTAGCCACAAAAAATACTACAAGACTTTTCATTGAACATGAAGTTCTATCTTGTTTTTTGGCAAATTAGTTGAACCATCAGATATTATGCTACATGAATTATGCAAAAGAAATATTAAGGCTGGTTGGAAGGAAAAATTGGAAAGAGTTCTTTCAAAGACTTGTAGTGAGCACTTCAGAAAGTATAGTTCTAAAACACTAGTATCAAATAATAATTTGGGAAGTGGGATAGTTAGTGTAGAATGAGCAGTTGTATTCCAACCCCCTAGAGATGTATGTGAAATTTGAGGGATTATGTTGTATGGGCTATTAACCAGTGAACACACTTTAGGAGAAACTTGTCTGCCATATTTTCTTGCATATGACACACCCCTGAATGTAACACACATCCTGTTTTTGGAAGGCCCCAAGAAGGAAAAATAGATCTTAGCTTGGAGTATAGATAAGCAACTGAGGTATGGAGTCTCCAGGCCTGGGGCCATATGCCAGGGATGAAGCCATGCCCCAAATGCGAGATCACATGCCAGGTTTGGCTGTGGACTTACTCTGCATGCTGGCCTGATCTGGTGCACAATGTCATGTCAGCCAGCCAAGGGGCTCCCCAGGGATCTGGAGATTTGTCAGTGCAGGGAGTGATGACAGCATTAATTGCCATGGCTCCCAGAGCATCTGTTTCTAATGTGTCCTTCTACTGGGATGTTTTTTATGCTTTACGTAGTTCATTAGGCCTCTTGGAGCTGCTCTAATTAAAGCATGCCACCCCCCCACCCCCCAGTCTTGGAGTATGGGTATAGTATAAACACCCTTAGAGTAAAGTGCAAAACTTAGACCTCTTCTAACTCAGGCTTTTTGAACATCTGTACCTAGCCTGAATCTTAATATCTTTGGACCCCACTTTTTATAAAACAGGACTGGTAGGACCACCTTGACTCTCATGGCTGTCTTGAAAACATTTTCTTTATTCTGTATGAAGTACTCATATACTGGAGAGAGAAACACTCTTAGAAAGGCCATGAAGAAAATTATAAACCTTTACATAAATAAGGGGCTAGTATACAGCTTCTCAAAGCACCCTGAATACCATCATACAGCATCCTATTTACACCCTCGTCGTTCATCCTAAGAATGAACCTTCTAGGCCATGAAAATCTGCCACTGTTGTTGTTCCAAATGAGAATGAGTTCATACATATCAGTCCTACTCCAATTATCCAGTTATCCCCATTTCTCCACTCCATGATGTTCTTGACTAGTCAGTCCCATAGTCTGTACTATTCTCACCCCTCCCCTCAGTCTCAGTCTCCCTTCTCTTCTTCTCCCAGTCTCCTTGCATAGTCAATCCCTGTTGTTTCCTGTATAGTCCTGGTCTGTTTCTCTCATGCTTTCCACGGCTAGAGACAGACATTGTACATAAGCCAGTTTAAGTAATCAGAAACTGGAACCTGAAAAAGAACAGATGTTCCGTGCACATATGCCAGTTCGAAAATGGTTGAAACCGGTTTGAGATAAACCTGGCTGAATGTAGTATCAGGCTTAACTGATTTGGGTCAAACCAGTTTATGCAGTGTCTGTCCCAGACCCCTTGCTGGTTTAAACTAAACCGGATGCCCCCAGCATCCCAGCATGCTCTTTGGGCTGGGTGGGGCTCTCCACTCCATAGCAGGGCTGGCCCCACCCCTCTGCTCCCTGGCTGCAGCTCTTACAGAGACTGCAGGCTACTCACCCCCCGTCCCCTTCACCACTCCCTGCTAAGCAGGAATTCCCCCCTCCCCTCTGCCTTGCTGAGAGGTGTCTGTGTATTAGCTAGCAGACCACATGCTGGCTACAGTCAGTGCTGTGAGAAACAGGACAAAGGCAGAATCAACAGGTAGCTGGTAATGTGCCCCTGTTGTTTTCTTAATGGGGTGATAAACACTGAGTTAGGGGTGATAAACACTGTTATCAATTCCCTGCTGGGCTGGTTGTGGTAGGCGGGGGCAGGTAACCCCTCCCTAGTCAGAGCTTCCTGCTAGGTCCTGATCATACCCCGCTCCCTCTTGGCTTAGTACAGTGGAAGGGAAGGGAGGGATGCTTTAGCACCCCCTGCCTTCTAGCCTGAGCCACTGCAGGCATGTGTCTACGTGTCTGGGATGTCTGTGCAGTTACAAACTGACTTAAGCTAGCCAGGTTAGACTAACCTGCAAAGACTGAATCAATTCAGGCTCAGGCTTTTTGAATGTCAGTCCCTAGCCCAGTTGCTTGTCCTTCCCTGACTCTTTCTCCCACATACCCCATCCTAGACTCCCTGGGCTCTTCCTGTATTTACCTCCCTGGCTTCTTGTCCTAGACTTTGCCTGGCCAGTTCCATATATCTTTAAGCATGCTTAGAGAGAATAAGACTTAGCAGTTTTGGCTGTTAAACTGTTGTAAGTCTCTACTCAGTCTGTATGAACCGTAATTTTTTAGTCTTGCTTATTTGTCAAATTTATGGTAATTTTCACAGGAAAAGCAAAACTCATATCCATGACATGCAAGCTGCCCTTCTGTCAAATTTCAAATATTTGCTTCAAAGCTCAAAAACATTAGGGTTCAGAAAAAAGGCAGATAGAATTTATTTATTTATTTTTAACATTTACAAGCACATGTTTCCTTACCTTTCTCTCAGAAATAGAAAACAATTTTGGCTTATACTCCAGTTTTTGGCAAAGTAATTCAGTGGAAACAGATTAAATCTGATGAAGTTAAAAAAAAAAAAAAAAACAACTGAAGAACGGGTCCTATATAATGGCAAGCGGTGCATCTTTAATAATATGTCATGTTACCAAGATCTTCATAGTACCCCTTATGCTCTAATTATCCTTTTCTTTTTTTTCCTCAGATTTGTCTGTATATTACCTACATTACGATTGCCCAGTCTTGTTGTAGAATTTAAGGATCAGTGTCATCCGAGAAAGCCATATACAAAGTCAATTACACAAATATCCTGTAGCTAAAACAGTACTATTTTAATTAATTATTTAATTCATTAAAAATCCTGAATTATTTATTATTTCATCCAGGTTCATTGCATTGCCTACTGAGCAACTGGCTGGAGTGGAGATGAACCTGTGATTTCTGTGACTGGAAGGTTTTAACATTAAAAATATGTGGATACTGGATGCCTGGCAAGATATTCCCAGTAATGTTCCTGGCATCAGACAATGCTTGCCTGGCAATAATGTGGAAATATGTTCTGCTTGTGTTCATTTCTTTATTATTTATTTTTGTCCTTATATGAGCACAAGTGTAGCAAATTCTTCTTAGGCTTCTCAGACCTGCAAAGATACTAAGTGAGAGGGTACTGTTGACAGACTGGGGGAAGGAAAGTTTGGGGTCACACACACACAGTGGACCGCAGTGCAGGAAGGGCTTTCTTTATGTTTCTACTTGGTAAGGTTTAAGTCCAGAGGCAATAAGTTTTGCTAAATAAAGCAGGGTGTGTCTACGCTTGCAAATGCTGCAGAGTGGGTTTACTCTAGAGTAAATCACTCTAGAACAAACCCACCCTGGGCAAGTATCTACACATGTGGGGATTCGGAAGCAGATTTGCTGCTCCTGGCAGCAGTCTGCTCCCAGCCCCTCTGACCCTGCACCAGCCCCCTGCAGCAGCCAGAGGGAGGTTCATCCTCCACCTGGGTGCTAGTCCAGGGGCTGGCAGGGAGAATGGGGCCAGGACACAGCTGTCTCCTGGCAGGGGCTGGGAGGTTGCTCCCTGCCCCCAGGAGATGCCAGCTGCTGGGTTGGGCTCCAGTAACAGAGCCCAGATGTGGACAATATCTCCCTGCCTTGGCAGCAGGAAGCTCCCAGCCCTGGCTCCCCACTCAGGGGCAGGGCACTTGGAAAGAGCTGCAGGGAAGGGGCAGATCCCAGTCTTCTGCCCTGATCCACCAGTGGGGCAGCTATCAGTGATCCCGGGCTGGGCAAGGATTCCCCACCCAGCAGGGGGCTCACTGGTGGCTGCCCAACCAGCAAATCAAGCAGGGGGGTCACTGCTAGCTACCTCACTGGCAAAT